ATTATTGTATATATACAGTTATTGTATATATCTATATCTATAGCTATATATATATATATATGTAATCTGAAATGGCTCATACTAGTATAAAGTACCTAAACAAGACAATTCTAGTATGTAGATTAAGATTTTTAGGAAGAAAAAGCTCTCTGAAACTTGGAAATAAAATCATTTCTGTTTTCAAATTATGCCATCACCGTTCAATTGTGTGACCTTGGGCAAGTTACTTCTTCATACCTAGGTTTCTTCTCCTAAAACAACCTTATTAGTAGCACCTATCCCATACAGTTATTTTCTGAGATGTAATATAAATTCAGTAAATACTGTTGCTGCTATTGCTTCTATAACAAATGTTATTTTTCATTTGTTAATTATTACAGAGATACTATTATCTTTCCTTTGCTCTCAGTTTTTTAGAGGCTTTTTGACTGAAGTATGCAGAGTCACAAACAAAATTTTATATGCTGTATTTCTCTGTCTATATAATATCAAGATTCATTTAACTAACAAAATCATTTCTGAGCCTACTTTTAAGCAACCAGTGAAAGCAAAACTACAGACTCACAAATGCATAATTATTATTTCACTAAGATTTTTCTTAATGATCATAACTTCATATATACATACATACATATATATATGTATATATATAACTCACATGTAACTTAAAGTTTTAAAGTGACAATATGAAAATATTATTTAATAAAGTTTAATAAAGCCAATAATTATCAGGCATGAAATAGGGAGAACAATTTATATCATAAATGTCACGACTCTATGAAAGCAAAAATCAGTTTCTAGAAATGAGCTCTGATTTTTAAAAATATTCCATATCATATCATATAGCATCCTCTGGTGCTTCATCATAAAATTCAAGTGCGAGTTGAGTGTATAAAGGAAGGCTAAGTTTCTACATTCTGGATGACTGACTGAGAACGACACAGGACACATGAGCTACAATACTGCCTCTCCCTCCAAGGTAGCTGTAACGTGGGGAAAATCACTTTTTGGGATATAGTTTCCTTATAGGTGAAGGAAAAAAACTTATTTCTTTTCGAAATCTACACTGTGAAATGATTTCTTGTTATAATTTCCATTAATTTCATAATAAATTATTGAATGGTTCAATATGCCAGACCATGGACTTTTCACTCTTTGGTAAAAAGATGAATAAGACCTAATACTTGTATCAGTTGAACTCACAATCTATTGAGGGTTTACAGAAAATGAAACAAAAATATTATAATGCTTAAGACAGATTTACTCATAGCACCCCAATTTCTAAACAAAGGAAATACAACAAAATCAAAGACAGTGATTCTACTATTTTAATAAAATTATAAAAATAATATAAGCAAAAAAATGTCATCTTGGTTATGTATCTATATGCACACACAATACAAAATACACACACACCATAGCTATTTGCAATACTGTTTGAGTCAGAGTTTAGTGAGAAAAAACAGGAGCTATACCTCTTTAAAGCAATAATTACAAAAAAAATAACAAACAAAACACCAAACATACTTTGTATGGAAGATTATTTTTGGGATTTTCAATAAAATTAAAGTGTAAAAATGAAAAGTGGTAGGTAGACTCACAAATCTTGCAATTTCAAAAAAGTAGTAATAATGTTCTTACTATATACCAGACATGATGCTAAATGCTAAAAAGTTATTTCATTTAAATTTTTATAAGAACCCTATGAAGTACTATTATTATTCCCACTTGACAGATGAGAAAGTAAGACTAAATAACTTGCTCTAAGACATATAACTGGCTAGCTGTGACTGCTACACAGGTCTGTGTTCATCATCACTACACCAAACTGCATATAATACAATCTTATTGCAAATAAACTCCCAGTTTATTTCATGTAGAATAAGTCTTGTCTGTCTCTTGGTGTATTAAAAAACAATTCAACAACTTTTTTCCAAATCTTTTTACCACTTAACAAGAATTATTTCTTAACAGTCTTTATAATGAACTCTTAGAAACCTTAACTGCCCTATCATTTAAAAGTGTTTGTAAAATGTACAAAAGAATTGATTTTATAATATAGATTAAAATAACTGTTTAACATACTTGCATTTCTTGCTGGATCCTTCAGTCTATATATCAGCATATAGGCATTGGTGGAGCTAGTGGAAATATAAAAATGATTAATAGGGACAAAAAATAGATTGCAAAGATTCTATTTCCTAGCATTTTATGTAGATAGATAAATAGAGTATTTTGTTTGTTTCAAACAATAAGAAAATAATCATGTCAATGTTCTCAGACAGGCTTACTTTTAAAACATTCTAGTAAAAAAGGAGAATCTGCTTTGTTTTTAATGAGATATTTATGAGAAGACCACTTTATGTCCTCTTAGTAACATTAAAGCATTAAAAAAAAAACCTTGTGTTTTGTCAGAGGTTGGCAACTTTTTTCTGTATTGTTGTTGTTACGTGCCACTGAGTCAGCCCCGACTCAAAGAGACCTCTCTCTCCTTGGGTTTCCGAGGCAGTATCACTATGAAAGCAGATTGCCCAACCTTCCTTCTGAGGAGTGGCTGGTGGGTTTGAACTGCCAGCCTTCTGGTAAGCAGTCAAGTGCTTTAGGCACTATGCTACCAGAGCTCCTTTTTTCTGTATAGGACACATAATAAATATCTTAAGATCTGCAGAGGGGTTAGGAACAACTAAAGGAGACAAACTTGTCTGTCAGTTTATAGTCCTGTGGTGGCTTACGTGTTGTTGTGAGGCTGGAAGCTATACCACCAGTGTTGCAAAATGCCAGCAGGGTTATCTATGGTGGACAGGTTTCAGCAGAGTTTCTGGGCTAAGACAGACTCAGAAGAAGGAAGAGGCCATCTACTTCTCAAACAATTGGCCAGTTAAAACTTTATGAATAGCTTTGAAATACTGTCCAATATAGTGCTGGAAGATGAGCTCTCATCAGGGTGGAAGGCACTCAAAATCTGAATGGGAAAGAGCTGATTCTTCAGAGTAGAGACAACCTCAACAATATGGATAGAGTAAAGCTTTCGGGACCTCCATTGGCTGACGTAGCATGACTCAAAATGAGTAGAAACATACGGAAACATCCATTAATAATTAAAACATGGAATGTACAAAGTATAAATCTAGGAAAACTGGAAGGTGTCAAAAATGAAACGGAATGCATAAAGATTGATATCCTAAGTATTAGTGAGCTGAAATGGATTGGTTTTGGCCATTTCTAATACGCTGGGTAGGACAATTTGAAGAGGAAAGGTGTGGCATTCATCCACATAAAGACTGTTTCACTATCTGTCCTGAAGCACAATGCTGTCAATGATAAGATAATATCCATACCCCTACAAGGAAGATGACTACTATTATTCAAATCTATTCATCAACCATCAAAAGCCAAAGATGAGGAAACTGAAGATGTCCACCAACTTCTGCAGTCTGAAATTGACCAAACATGCAATCAAGGTGTGTTGATTGTCAATGGTGACTGGAATGCAAAAGGTGGAAACAAAGAAGAGTTACTGGTAGTTGGAAAATATGGCCTTGGTGATAGAAGTAATGTTGAGATCGTATGACAGAATTTTGCAAGACTAATGACTTATTCATTGCAATTATCTTTTTTCAACAACATAAGCAACAGCTATACACATGGACTTCACCAGATGGAATACACAGGAGTCAGACTGACTACATCTGTGGCAAGAGGTGATGAAGAAGTTCAGTATCGTCAGCCAAAACAAGGCCAGGAGCTGATTATGGAAGAGACCATCAACTGCTCATATGTACATTCAACTTGAAGTTGAAGACAATTAAAACAAGTGCATGAGAGCCAAAATATGACCTTGAATATATCCTGCCTGAATGTAGAAATGATTTAAAGAATAGATTTGATGCATTGAACACCAATGACCGAAAACCAGAGGAATTGTGGGAGGACATCAAGAACATCATCCACGAAGAAAGGAAGAAGTTATTAAAAAGGTGAGAAAGAAGAAAAGACCAAAATGGATGTCAGAAGAGATTCTGAAACTTGCCCTTGATTGGAGAGTAGATAAAGCAAATAGAAGAAATGACAAGATAAAAGAGCTGAACAGAAGATTTCAAAGAGCAGCTCAAACAGACAAAGCCAGTAACTATAACGAAACGTGCAAAGACCCAGAATTGGAAAAACACATTCAGCATTTCTCAAGCTTAAAGAACTGAGGAAAAAATTTAAGTCTTGAGTTGTAATACTAAAAGATTCTATGGGCAAAATATTAAATGATACAGGAAACATCAAAGGAAGATGGAAGGAATACACAGTCACTCTACCAAATGGAACTGGTCGATGTTCACCCATTTCAGGAGGTTGAGTGTTTATGAAGATGAATTCCACACCCTTCCTCTTCAAATTGTCCTACCTGGAATATTAGAAATGGCCAAAACCAACTGAAGGAAGAAGTCGAAGCTGCACTATAGTAACTGGCAAAGAACAAGGCTCCAGGAACTGATAGAATACCCACTGAGATGTTTCAACAAACGGATGTCCTGCTAGAGGCACTCACTTGGCTATGCCAAGAGATGTGGAAGATAGCTACCTGGCCAAGTGACTGGAAGAGATCCATATTTATACTCATTCCAAATAAAGGTGATCCCACAGAATGTGGAAATTATTGAACAATATCACTGATATCGCACGCAAGTAAAATCTTACTGAAGATAATTCAAAAACGGCTGGAGCAGTTTATTGACAGAGAGCTCCCAGAAAGGCAAGCTGGATTCAGAAGAGGACGTGGAATGAGGGATATCATTGCTGATGTCAGATGGATCTTAGGTGAAAGCAAAAAATACCAGAAAGACATTTACTTTTGTTTTATTGACTATGCAAAAGCATTCGATTGTGTGGATCATAACAAATTATGGGTAATTTTGAGAAGAATGGGACTTCTAAAACACCTGATTGTGTTCATGAGGAACCTATATACAGATCAGGAGGCTTTCATTCGAAAAGAACAAATGGATACAGCATGGTTCAAAATCAAGAGGTGAGAACATCAAAGCTGTATCCTTTCACCATATTTACTCAACAACAACAAAATCTGCAAGCCATGTGGTCTCTCACCACTACTCATCTCTGTTGTTGTAGTACAAAAGTATCAACAGACAACATATATATAAATGAATATAGCTGTGCTCTCATAAAAGTGAAATTCCAAAAACAAGCAGCATGCTGAATTTGGCCCACGGGCTATAATTTGCTGACCCCTGCGTTAAATCTTTAATGGTAAAAAATTGTTGAGAAGTTCTAATTAATTCTAACTTGTAATCAGTTAAGCACTTAACCACAGTATTACAGGGGCTTCTTACCTTAAAAACACTAAAAATCAGGAAATTACTTACCTTGCAAAAGCACTAGAATAATATCCTCTGCTTCCTGAAGATCCACCATGTGTCTTCTTAATGTCCTCTTGTGTTATCTAAAAAATCATTTACTTACTTTCTCTTTTGGAAAATCTGTAACACTATTACATAATGTCAATCTACAACCCAACATTCAAATCTCAGAATCAAATGCTACATATTTTTAAGATGGCTCTGCATATAGATACCAAATTATAATATATAATCATAATCACTGGCTGCTACCTGCCAATCAGTTCTACTGCTCCAGGGCAAGAGGAAAACCAGTAGTCTATCTCTGGAAACATTCAGCAAGTCCAAACAAAACAAAGAACAGCAATATAAAAGAAAAGAAATGTATTGAAAGCAAAAAAGACTGATTTGGCATGGACCTTAAGATGCTTTACTGGATAAACAGATTCTTCAATTTTTCATGGACCCTGCTGTTGATTAGAAACATTCCAACTCATGTCTTTCAGAACAATAATCTTTAAAAAAGTCTTCTCCTTACCCTGCTGACATGTTGATCATTAAAGCTGTACCACTGCTCATCACTGAATGACTTTATACAAGCATAATAATGACCACCAGCTGCACTCCCCGAATGAACCATAACAGAGAAGAGCTCATAGATCAGGGAATTCTAAGGAAAAAAATAAAAGTAACTCAGAGAAGAGGGAAAAGTACAGTAGCTCTTTTTTTGGTTTATTTCCTATTCTCTATCAACACATAGTAAAGTAACATGATAGCTGTTGTATTAATTGATTTTAATATCTTTTATAAAGAACAAATACAGAACTATACTATATCTCTAACTAGAATTATTTCTTAATAGTTTCCTGTTCTGTAAATAATTCTTCACTGTTTGGAACTGAAGATTATTTTAGTCAAATTTCAACTATTTGTGGAAGAAAACAGGAAGACATGTTTCATTAAAAAAAAAAAAAAAGGTGATTTACAAATGACTTATTTTTATTTTTGAGGTTATCTTTTCTTTCAGAAGCCTAGGCATTTCACAGCTTCTAAGAGAATATGACATACTGGCAACTTTACAGACCAGTTAATTTAATGAGAGAGAGGAAGACAGAAATAAAAGTGATGGTTAAGAGTGTCAAAAAGGACACAGGGAAGAGGTAACTATAGGGAGGAAGTGGGAGGGGAGTTGCTGCATTGTGGGAGATTATAGTCAAGGTCATGAGACAAAGTATATGTGACCTGCTGTATGGAAAATGAATTCACTCTGTAAACTTCACACAAATCACATTAAAAATGAAAAAAAAAAAAAAAGAAGAGTGTACAAAAGGGAGTTGACATGACAAGATCCCTCAGTTGGTGACAAGTAAGCTTTGCTTTATTTGCTTTTCTACAAGAAGAACCAGTTTCTCTTTTTTATTCAATTTTGCTTAAAAAATATGCATCTGAGCAATGTTGCCTAAAACTCTCTAGATATTCCAGTAGGAAATAACTTTAAATTGACTGATTATTACTAATCTAATAGTGAAATTTCTAGAACAAATTCTAAAAATGTCTCATAACTTCAATATACTGGTTTGTATTTTATCTCTAAAACTAAAATTACTTACTGTGGTGACTGAGAGGTGTTTTCTGAATTTATCTGTAATCCAAATTTGAACAATCTATGAAATATGGTAACTCTTTGTGTCTAAATCAAAGTGTTTTGGATATATATAGTTTATTATCACAGGTCTTCACATATCAAATCTTCCACAAGTGTGAAGACAATGACCAAAATACCCTTAAAAGAATTTGAAGACACTAGACAAAATCTTGGTATGACTAAATGCTAATGCTATGAAAAATCTTATGAAATAAAGAGGCTTGTCTACAAAAATGGAAAAACCTGCCAATCAACAGCTGCACTATTTTTAAAGTTTTATTGTAATTATAAAAACCAAAAGGAAATATTTTTCCAGGAAAATTCTGATTGCTAGACTACAATAATGGTGGTAGACTCCCAAAACTGAATCACTTTGAATTTCTGCAAATTAGAATTGCATGTACTATATATAAGCAAAAAGATAAACAGTCTATTTGAAAGAATATCAAAACCCGAACCAAACCCAATGCTATCAAGCTAATTCTGACTCAATGACTCTACAAGAAAGGGAAGAACTGCCCAATAGGGTTTCCAAGGCCATAATCTTTATGGCAGCAGATGGGCACATCTTTCTCCTGCAAACGGGCTAGTAGGTTTGAACTGCTGACCCTTCAGTTAGCAGATGAATGATCAACCCTTATGCCATCTCCTATTGGAAAGAATAAGGGTTCTTAAATGCAATAATCTTAGTTTCAAATTATAAACAGTGCTAAAGGCTAGGAAGCAGGGTAAGAAGAACAACATCATTAAATAATAGTAAGATTCTCTTCTAGTACTGTGTAACAATCTGATGGCAACTAACGACAACAAAGCAATGCACATTACTTAATTAAAATGGACATAAATACTTACATACAGTATTGCCAAATACATTTCTAGAACTGGGAAAAAAAAACCAGAAAGTATCTGGTCCAAATTCTTTTAAACTGTAGCAACTAAAAGACACATAGATTCAATATTTTGCCCAAAGTGATATAGCTTGTTAATGGCAAAGTCAGAACTAAAACCCAGATCATTTGTTCCTCTATTGCAAAGATCTGTAAAGGGCTAGACAAATGAAGATTTCAGGCTTTGTTGACCAGAAAGTCTAATACAACTAACTCAACTCAGCCATTACAGCATGAAACCAGCCATAAACCCACTGCCTTCAAGTCGATTCCAAATCATAGCTACCCCACAGGACAGAGAACTGTCCAAAGGGTTTCCAAAGGTGTAAATCTTTATAGAAGCAGACTGCCGCATCTTTCTCCTATAGAGTGGCTGGTAGGCTTGAACGGCTGATCTTTCGGTTCGCAGCCAAGCGCACTTTAACCACTGTGCCACCAGGCTCCTGAAACCACAAATGCGAATGGATATGATCCAACAAACTTAATTAATAAAAACAGGCAGCGATGAAGAACAGATCCTGGAAGCTCAGAAAAAACAAGCAAGATAAGTATCTTCTCTCTCCAAAAAGTACCATCAAAACAACCAACCAACCAACCAAAAACAAACTACTATTTAGGCATATGTATCATATTCAAACGGCAAAAAATGAAAGATAAAATCTAAAATTTTAAATAAAATCTAAAATCTAGAAAGAAGCCGGAGTTGGGGGTCAGGGGACCTGACCTCTAGAGAAACAAGGAAAGAATTATAGCTTACTTATCAAAAAAGTACATATGCAAACAAAAGTGCAATGAAATGCTTAAAGTGTTCAAAGAAAAAAATCACCAACCTAGAATTCTATATCCAGCGAAATAATCCTTCAAAAATGAAGGAGAAATAGAGACATTCTCAGGCAAACAAAAACTGAGGGAATTCATCGCCAGCAAACCTGCCCTATAAGAAATGTTAAAAGAAGTGCTTCAGGCAGAAAGAACATGCTTTAGATGAAAAACCTGGATCTACATAAAGAAAAGAGAACCAGAGAATGAATAAATGAAGGTAAAATAGAATCTTTTCTTTTTCTTATTCTTAACTGAACTAAAAGATAACTGTTTAAAGCAATAATAGTAATAAATATATGGGGCAACTATAGCACAGGGATAAGTGAAATAAATGACAGCAATTTCACAGGGACAGAAAGGAGGCATTGGGAAAACTTCGTTATCAAGTACCTATACTACACATGAGGCAGAACAGTGTTATTTGAAGGTGGATTTAGACTGGTTACAAATGTACATTGTAAACTCTAGATTAAAAAAAAAAATTAAGCACAACTGATACAGACAGAAGATAAACGGAATCATATAAAATACTCAAAACAGAGCAGGCAGAAAAAGAAGAGGGAAAAGAAACTAAAAACAAATGTAACTAATAGAAAACAATTACAAACACAGTAGCTATTAATCAAACTATGTCTAATCAAACTATGTCAATAATTATGTTAAATGTTAATGGTCTACAAAAGACCAATTAAAAGACAGAATTTGTGCAGATTAAAACAAGACATAACTATGTATTATCTATAAGAAATCCGCTTTAAATATAAAGACTCAGGTTAAAAGTAAAAGGATGAAACAAGATACACTTTCTTTTCACAAAAGAAAGCTGGAGCAACTATAGTATTCTAGACAAAGCAAACATCAGAACAGGAAACTTAGCAGATAAAGAGAGAAATTACATAATAATAAAGGAGTCAATTTTCTAAGGAGCATAAAAATACTAAACACGTATTCATCATCTAAAAATAGCATCAAAATACATAAGTCTAAAATTGATAGACCAGCACTCATCTGTCAGTTTGTTGTACTATGGTGGCTTGTGTATTGCTGCTATGAGGCTAGAGGCTATTACACTGTCATTTCAAATACCAGCAGGGTCACCCATGGTAGACAGGTTTCAGTGGAGCTTCCAGACTAAGACAGACTCGGAACAAGGAAGGGGCCATCCATTTTTCAAAGAACTGGCCAAAGAACACCTTACGAATAGCAGTGAAACACTGTCTATTACTGGGAAACGTTATGAATAGCTCTGAAACATTGTCTGATATTGTGCCAAAAGAAGAGCCCCTCAGGTTGGGAGGCACTCAAAATATGACTAGGGAAGAGCTGCCTCCTCAGAGTAGAGCTGATCTTCATGAGGGGGATGGAGTAAAGCTTTCAGGATCTCCATTTGCTGATGTGGCACCACTCAAAATGGGAAGAAACAGATGCAAACATCCATTAATAATCAGAACACGGAATGTACGAAGTATGAATCTAGGAAAATAGGAAGTTGTCAAAAACGAAGTGGAACACATAAAGATTGATATCCTAGGCATTAGTGAGCTGAAATGGACTGGTTTTGGCCATTCTGAATCAGATCTACTACGTCAGGAATGACAAATTGAAGAGGAATGGTGTGGCATTCATTCTCACAAAGAATGTTTCAATATCTATTCTGAAGTACAATGCTGTCAGTGATAGGATAATATCCATACGCCTACAAGGAAGACCAGCTAATACTACTATTATTCAAATTTACGCACTAGCCACCGAAGTCAAAAATGAGGAAATCGAACATTTTGACCAACTTCTGCAGTCTGAAATAGGCCAAACATGTAATCAAGATGTGTTGATTATCAATGGTGACTGGAATGCAAAAGTTGGAAACAAAGAAGAATCACTAGCAGTTGGAAAATATGGTCTTGGTGATAGAAATAGTGCTAGAGATCACATGACAGAATTCTGTAACATCAATGACTGACTCATTGCAAATACATTTTTTTCCAACACACACAGCAACTATACATGTGGACTTCATCAGATGGAGTACACAGGAATCAGATCGACTACATCTGTGGAAAGAGGCGATGGAGAAGCTTAATATTATCAGCCAAAATAAGACCAGGAGCTGATTGTGGACAGACCATCAGTTACTCATATGCAAGTTCAAGTTGAAGCTGAAGACAATTAAAACAAGTCCATGATAGCCGAAATATGACCTTGAATATATCCCTTCTGAATTTAGAGACCATCTAAAGAATAGATGTGATGCGTTAAACACCAAGGACAGAAAACCAGAGGAACTGTGGGATGACATCAAGAACAACATCCATGAAG